GGTTGAAATGGCCCAAAATTCCCCAAGCCCGTTCCATTCGTCCAGCCTAGATCTGTGAATTACCCGGTCCAGTCCCCAGGCTAACAAAACGACGCCGTTTGGCGTCAATAAATCTGGGCCATCTATCCTCTTTGATCTAACGGCTCATAATCGATCCTCATTTTTAATAAAAGTTCTGAAAAATTGTAGAAACCCTAAAGACAAACCTGTCTTCCTCGTACCTTAGCTCCCACCACCGCCCTCCGCCGTCCGCCGCTGTCGGAAATCGCCTACGGCGGCGGCGAACCTCCAACGACCACCAAATCAACACCCTTGAACCACCTTCCTTTCCTCTTTCCAAATTTACAATCCTTTTCCCTCAAAACCTAGCCAATTTTCTCAAATATCAAATCAAAATTCTGGCCAAAACCCTAAATTCTCTAAATCTCGCCAAATTTACACCAAACCACCCTCTTCCCTCCCTCATTACGAATTCCCTATCATCTTCCCTCAAAACCCACCAGAGCTTCTCGAATTTTAGATCTTAGAGCGGCAGACCCTAGAAGTCTGAATTACTCGAGTTCTCCCCAATTTCCCGAGTCCAAAGTTTGAGTCGAGCCACGAAATAATGTGTTCGTTTGTTCTTGGTGAAGAACACACGTTTACATCATTCCGGTGCTTGAATCGGCGTTCAGCTTTGTTTATCCTTGCATAAGTAAGTTTTTCTTTTCTTTTATTGTTTGATTTCTCTGTTATTAAGATTAGTTTAAGCGTAGTTCTTGTTGTTAATTCATAGTCAGTGTTCTAGGTTTTAGTTTAAGTTTTTTGATTGTTCGTTTTAAGTCAGTAAGGTTTCTTCTCATTTGATTAATTTTTCTTTATGTTAATTGATTCTGTTTGTTTTAGTCTTTACTTTTAGTTTAATTTTGTTCTGTTTTTTGCTTTGGTTTGATTTTGGTTTGGTTTCGATTGAATAATTCTTGATTGTTACTGAATTTGGCCTCAGTTTAATTTATTTGAATTGCTGAATTGTTTAGTGAATAAATTTAGTTTGGATTAACAGTCTAATTAGATTCAATTCCCATGTTTCTGGTTAGTTGGGATGAGTGATTAGTTCAACTTTAGGATTTGTTTGGACTTAGCCGAACTTTCAGTTCCTGTGAGTAATTAATTATAGTTACTGACCAAGGTAAGAGGGTTGGGGTTTAGTTTGATTAGGCTATGTAATTTAGGGGCGAACAAGGGTAGTATAGGCATCCTAAATAGAAAACAATACTGTAGATTAAGATAGAATTCCCTAGAATCTTCTAGAATAGGGCCTTAGCTATAATTTCAAGAACTTAGGATAATAACTTAGGCAACAAGTCAAAAATTCTAAGGACTAACTAAGCAAAAATTTGAAAATAAAAGAGGGACTTAGGGGTAAAGTGAAAATCTGTAGGAGCCCTAATTTTGTCTATAAAAGGGCATTGCCTTGCCTTACAATACAAGTTTTTGGACTCTGAAAAATCCCCAATTTCCAGCTTTTGAATTCCCCCTCAAAATCGATCTAGTTGCTGCTGTATACTGCTGTTGCTTGCATCGCTGACTCTCAATTTCTGCATTTGTTCCCTTTCCAGGTACTCATTTGGCCTCATACAATTGTGAAGACTCAATGTAGGATTGCTGAAGTATATGAAATGATGAAATATTATTACATTTGATCTATGAAGTCTCCCGTTCCTTGTTTAGCTTAAAGCATAGAGTAGTTTTTGTTTATTTGAACAATATATGGATTTGTAATTAATTAGACTGCTGGACCTTTTAGAATTGCATGAACTTTCCTGCCCTTACATTAGTTTAGTATTGATTTGTCGGTAATTAGAACATTGAACCTTTTAGAGTCATGTGAATGTGTTTTCAAACAGTGTTAGTTTAGAATTGCATGAAATATGTTCTGCCAATAACTCATGTATAGATTTTCACGTTAGTTCATGTATTAATTTGATTTTGAACTTGTAGTTTAGACTCATGTGTTGTCATGTACGGATTCACTTGGTTCGTTGTATACTGATTTAAATTGCAACTCACAGGAGTCCATTTATATTTGGCGATTCAGGTGTAATTTTGGAATTAACTACTGGTTAAGTTCCAGGTGGATCACATTAATTAGTTCATGGAAGGCAACGAAGTAATTGCGTAGTAACACCTGAATTAAATAAATGGTACGTTTGTTTTACGAATAGTTAAGATCAATAATGAGGCAAGACAACCAGGCCCTTACATTCAAATTGATAACTGGGCCTAGTGTCATCTTAAGAAGCCAAAGCTGGGCAAATTTAAAAGCTGTATTTCCTTCTGCCTATATAGGGCCAGGTTTGCAGGCCCAAAAACGCTGGAATCAAAAAAATCCTTTAAATTATATTAGGAATATGGGATTGATTTGCAAAATATAAGTTTAGGTTCTCGAGTTAAGTAGCGGGTTCAAATTAGGAGGGTTTCCTTTTGTTTGAATCGACTTGAACCCGAGACCCGAATTTATAGATGTGAATTAATTAGGCTCTTTTAGAGACAAAACTAAATAGAAAATCATAGGTCACTTTAGTTTGGTCTTTAAATAATAAAGTGAGATGAGCCTCGCAAAACACATAAATCGCGGGCCTTCATTAAATGCTTAATTAAAAATACTTAGAATTCGGGGCGTGCCGGTTAGCGAATTCCACGGCCCTCCGCAAAGATAATAACCCGTTAGTCGCTTTAGGCGCGCTTTTTAATAATTTTACCTTTTTAATACGGGTGTACATTTCATGCGACTCAAATCCAAATCCAAAAACGTTGAATAAGAATGTGTCGAGGATCCGGGTGCATTTCATCTGACGTGATCCGAAAAACACGTTTTTAAACAACGTTCACTTTCATAAAAATAATTAAAAGCGATAAATAATTTAAAGGTGTTGAACATGTATAAAAATCAGATATTTAGCCATTTATAATTAATTTAAGCGATCGTGCTAGAACCACGGGATCCGGGGGTGCCTAACACCTTCCCTCGGGTCAACAGAATTCCTTATTCAGAATTTGTGGTTCGTAGACTCCAATTGGGAAGTCGACAATTTTTCTCGATTTGGGATTTAAGTTAAACCGGTGACTTGGGACACCAATCCTATCCAAAGTGGCGACTCTAAAAATAAATAATAAATAAATCCCATTTCGAAATAATGTCACTTTAAATGGAAAACTCCCTTATACATTATCCTTCGGGGTAGGTGTAATAAAAAGAAGGTGTGACAGCTCTGGCGACTCTTGCTGGGGACACGAACCCAGAATTTCGATTCAGGGTTCAAGAATTCGAGCTTAGTATAAATTGTTATATTTGGCTTTTATTTGATTTTTCTATATGTTCCCATGCTATATGTGCAAATGTTTTACCGCTTTGATATTTGTTGAACTTGTATATATAAACTGTCGCGACTCCCTTCCTCTTTCCGAGTCTTCTACATCATGGAGAAGGGTGCCACTTCATGTAGCTTCTCTTCTGTTTAGCGTCTTTTCCCACTTTAGAACGAGGTTTGGATAAGTTGCAAAGCCCGACGAGCTTTGTATCCCCGGTACGCTGCCTCCCCCTAGCTCGAGTTGTCCGCTCGGGTAAACCAGGTCTAGACCAATAAACCTAGGATTTAAACCTATAAGAACAAAAACTCATGCCAGATTCCTAGTAGGACGCTTGTTTGCATCATGTGCATTTGAC